ACAGCTGAAATGCAAGAAGTTTAGGGAATTAGCACTGCAGGCTGTCAACAGTCGGCTTGGGAAATGATAGAAATTGTAAAAAGGAGAAGAGTATTACAAAACAGGCTGAAGCAAAGAGAGCACATTAGAATGAAATCTTCATTGCATAACTCATTCTCACTGTGGAGCAGTAACTCTGAAATCGTTTATCAAGTTTTGGATTCCATCTGCAACGCTTTATTACCGAAAATTTCCTTTTGCATACGCTTCGACATGGAAACGGGAACTGGAAAAGTTCTTTTATGTCCTGAAAGAGACTTTTATTTTGAAGTGTGGTCACTTAAGTTCTTTAAGTGCTGCTGATACATGATTAGCATGTTTAAAAATGTGTACGTTTATGTGATCAGTCCTCCACTAAGGTTTGACAGCTTTCTAAAAAGGTGAACTATTATTAGAAGTACTTTTCCCCAAACTGTATTTAGTGTGACTCCTGTGGCCGTACTTCCTCTTTTAATCAGGACTTCTCTTGAAGATGGTACACATTACATTTGCTCTCTGAACCTTCACTATTTTTCTACTTTCAAATGTAAAGCTTGGTTGCTTGAAAACACGTAATGTTAATGTACTTTTGCAGCACTTTGAACTTCCTACTTTGGTTCTAATGTGTAAACCACAGACGTAAAGGGCCGTCATGACGTTGCCTACTGGTCAGTGAATTCCTGTGATGAAGTCTGGAGCTGAGAAAGTGAAAAGACCACATGCCCAGTCAGCAGCATACACAGCATTACTGGTCACTAAGGTCAAATAATATAATATGGGCACGATTTAGTTGAAAGTAGTTGTTTACGTGCTTCTTTCAGGTGTGCTCAGAGTCCACATGCATAGCTGGGGAATTATAGTTTAAGCCCTACTTTACGTGACAACAAACACCACAGGGCCCATTCACACAGACTCACTGAAGTGGAAACACCAACGAAAGCCTAACTAATGACCCCATGATTCTCTTGTGCTTTTAAGAGCAGTCACACCAACATCAACATCCTCTCTTGAAATGCCATCTTATTCATTTGTACCAACACGATAATTCAAACCAAGGAAACTGAGATGTTACTATGAGTGTGTAATCTAAACGCTTTTCATTTACCTCTATTAACAGCAATTGATGCAACAGTCCTTCACCGATTCAATACAAGCTTTCAAATGTCTCCATTCATGAACTCCCTGATCTGATTCATCTTTGGAAACCTGAAGATCAGCTAAGGCCATTGAACTACAACCGCATTAGCTTCCCACCCACATGGCATGAGAGTGAAATTTATATGACGCCAAATAGCTTTGCTGTGTTTGCTGTCAAAAGATGGACGACAGTACTAGATATGAGAAAATACATTTTTTTAAGCTTGATCCAGAACAAGAGCGTGTTATGCAAAGATGAGAGCAGTATTAAAGATATGTTGCAAAAGTGCTAGCCCCCTGGGTCCACTTATTATCTTTGATTGTGAATATCTTTCCTCTACAGCTCCTGCAGAATTAAGAGGAATAAGCTCTCAGTTGATCTCAGAAATCATTATGGTTTAGCTCTCTATGAAATCCTCATGTTCTCTTTTATTTTTACTCTGGCTTGATGCTAACATCAGTGCCTTAAGGGTTATTTTGATAACGTTTGTGATAAAACAACTATATAGATTGATGAATCCACCAAAAACACCCTCTAAAATGTTGGTTTTCATTGTTTCTGCAGCATAATGAGACCAGTGTAAATCTGTCTGGCGACATGTAGCTTTAACTGCAAGACCTGCACTTGCCCAGCATTTTACTGTGTTTAAATCAGAGGGGTTTTCACTGTCACTGAATCAGCTTTATATTGTCAGGGTACAGTGCCTGTATCTGTAGTGTGTGTCTGTGTGTGTCTGTGTTGTCTTGTTGGTAACAAGTAACAACACAACACATTGCAAGTTGTCTGGACTTGACCTAAATGTAAAGTAAAATGCTGGCTTCTTATGAAGTCCAAACAAAGCAGGTAATTCTGCTGAACACAGCACAGCTGGTAATCTGCTCAAACTAAACTTCTTTGCTATTATATATGTCACCTTCCAGATGGAAAAGAAAATAATAAAAAAATATTACACTTCAGAAGAAAACTGCATGAGAAAAATCACAATATGAGACATATAAGTTTCATAAGACGTGGATATGAAACAAACATTTACTTTTGAAAGAAATGGAAACATTTTTTCCTATTTTTTTTCACTGTGAGCTTTTCTGTGGAGGTCATTTAGTTTCTTTTTTACACGAACGGAAACATCTGATATTGGCTGACGGCTGAGGAAACATAAGCAAATAGGAACAAGAAGATAGGATTAAGTGGCCAATGCGCACAAATACACACACAAACATTTATAAACACATACAAGCGTGCGCACACACACACAGAGACACCATCATGGTAAATTACTCTCTCAGCTCTATAGGGGTCTGCAATTTGAGGGTGTCAAAGTCAAGGTGTAATATTAGCCTGGCATTAATAATAGCCGTAGCACTGCCCCTGCTAGTGTTAATGAGTGCAACACATTAACACACATGTAGCTTTGGATCGCATGCTCACCCACACACCCACGCATACACGCTCACACTTCAATAATGAAATACAAACTAACAATGAAGATGTTTTGCATGAGTTGTCACAGTGCACTTACTTATGCACCACCAGACACATTAAATTCTCAAAATGAAGAAGCTTTAAGAGCACAATGTTTAAAACATGCAAATGCTCTTAGGGCATGGTGTTAGCTTATACTTTTGGATTAACATGTGTGCTAAGGGCTAGTGAAGGCGGAGGGTGGAGAAGGGGGAGAACAGAGATGAGAGCTAAAGCTTCAAGCAATACTAATGCCCAGCTGAGATGAGCAGTCTGACAACAAGGCTACAAGGCCTTGTGAATAAACGATGAGCGCTCAAAGCCACGGGGCAGAGGTAGTAGTTATTTTAGCATGATGGCCGTGCCGGCCTCTCTTAACTGCTTAGCACGCAGATGAAAAAAAGCATATACACACACGCATGCACACAAAGACACAAAGATACCGTGCTGACATTTTACTGTACTCTGTTCCTCTATACTGTTTGGTGAGGACAGCACTGGACGTTTGCCAGAGACCGACTCATCCAGGCCCACCTGGTGTGTGTGTGTGTGCGCGCGCGTGTGTGTGTGTGTGTGTGTCTATATGCACAAACTTATAAACACTAAGTAGACAGAGCTGGGGGAGTCTGCCAAGCAGAGGAAGCCTTATGTCAATCAAGTGTCAGGGCAAGCTGGAGAGAAGGATATCAGGCCATGGGTGAGACACTATAAATAACCTAGCCCACCTTGGGAGTCAGGGTCAAATACACACACACACACACACACACACACACACACACACACACACACACACACACACACACACACACACACACACACACACACACACACCCTCATGTTTACATCCCTTCAGAGGACACATCACTACACATACATCACTACACTGACTTGCATTCATTTCCTAGAGACTTGCCCTGAAAGTATCCAGTTTACCAAAGGTTTACACTACACATTTTCTTTTTTTGTACCCAAATCTAGCACTCACAACACCAATATAATGCACTGAGAAAATATCGGACAAAAAACCTTAGAAAATCAGCGCCGTATTCAGAAAATGTACCATTAAAAGAATCACAAGTTCTAAACAGGCTTTTACACAAAAGAAAGCCTGAGTTGTGTCACTGAAGCCATTAAACGTGCAAACAGCAGAGCTTCTTATGTTATCTGCTTCTTTCAAATAGCACGCTCAAACAAGACTTGCACACATATTTGCTAGTATTTATTCTTTCTACGCGCACTGCAGGTGACAGCGAAAGCCTTTGGATTTGATATGGGAGCGAAGTGCCCCCTGAATTCTGAGCAATCTCTAGCTACTTTTAACATTGTTCTACCAGCTTAAGACTTAAACTAGAGGCTGATTCAGATGGGATTTGGATCTATAGCAAAAGAGGATCTCAATATTGCACACGCCTTTTATGTTTCTTTCACAAACTAGAGCTGGCTCATGGTACATGTGGTTGCGTGAATATAGACAAAACTAAGGCAAATATTTTATTACCCACCTGCTGGATTATTAGTTAATTTAATCCTGAGCTATAAGCAGATATGGCAGATTTAGGCATGCCGTACTGAAGCCTGTTAATTAAAGCAAGAACTCTTAAGTGCTCAGAAACCGACAAAACAGCTGGAGGAAAGATTTGGATATTACCAACTGTCTCCAGGATGTGAAATATCTTTTCAGCTCATTCACGTTCTAATCATTTTGTTGATTAGGAGCCATAAGTATAATGAGGAGAGGAGAGGAGAGGAGAGGAGAGGAGAGGAGAGGAGAGGAGAGGAGAGGAGAGGATTAGAATAGAGAGGAGAGGAGAGAGAGGAGAGGAGAGGAGAGGAGAGGAGAGGAAGTGATTGGGTTAGATTAAAGGGTGGATTGAAGGGTTTTTCTAACACATGCAAACCCTTTTGAGCTAGTTTCTACAGAGTGACAGCTTCCAGTAGAGCAAAATCAGCTGTCATGGCAACATGCACTTCACATCTCAGCACCCATCATCATCATTATGATTATCATCATCATCATCATCATCATCAATGATGCTCCATAGCAAAAGGGGAGAAACGAGGGGAGCATGCCACTGCAGTTGATCTCATGTTTTCTTTTCATGCGAATGAAACAAAAGAGTGGAGATGAGGTCTAACAAAGGACTTGGCAGAGCAATGTAGTTATGTCATGTGTTAGTGTGTGTGTGGAGCCATTCTCTGTGTTTCTCCCTGTTCCTGCTGACACATCACCTCCACCTGAATGCATGGCAGCAGGCACGTGGGGGAGAGATGTGGAAACAAAACAGTGGGATTGTGACTGTGTGAGAGCGACCGTTTGGAGACAAGAAAAGAAAAAAAAAAGGTGAGGTGAGTGTGGGGGTCAGAAGGGAAGAGGAAGTCATACTTTGGGCAACGGCGTTTCGGATGACCGGACTTTCTTGGGAGATATCTGTGAAGAGAGCAAGAGAATTATTTTCTTGTTTCCCCCTCTTCAGAGATATCTCCTGTGGCATATTGCTGTTCTCTGTAACAGAGCTTTGTCTGCTTGGATTTTCCTGTCAGCAGGACCTGCAAGCAGTTCCTGAGAGACTAACAGTGTATTTAGTCTCAAGCTTTGTCATTTATTTAAAAGGAACCTTGACTTGTAGTGTTACGCTTTATGAGCTTTCAGTTACAAAAATGGAAAATTTGTTTAAAATTCAAATGTTTCTTGGGGGATAATTCATTCCTGACATATTACAGTACAAGGGCAACAGAAGTGGTGTACGCAGCAGTAAGTTGTACTGCAGCACCGATCAGGCAAAAAGGGTCCTAAATTTCAAAGCACTGGCCCTCTTCAGTATGCTTGGACCACTTTAAAAGAGAATAATTGCCACATTATACACAATGACCCTGTAAAGGCCCATTAGACCCAAAAACAACACACAGAGGAAAGGTGCACAGAAATATCAACGAGCAAATCATCAAGTGGTCAAGTGTGGCTATAACTGGCAACAGTTGGTCAAATGTGTCAAAGTGATATGTTAAGGAGCGCCAATGAACAACAACACATCAGAGGAGACACTCGGAGAGAAGAGGAGACACACAATCACAATCACAGGGGAGGTAAGGCGAATGAAAAGACACATCAGTTTGAAATCACAGAGGCATCATGTAATGGAAAACATTTATAAAATCACACAGACACTACATTAAACAATTCTGGACTGACACGGGCTGGAAAGACAAATATGGGCGGTGTGTATGTCTAACTCCTCTCACACATGCAGTCCATATCAAACAACCTGAAAATCCCACCGGACTTTTACGAAAGCAGCACATACGTCTGCTGTGAACATGCAAATCAGATTCATAGGCATCTGGTCGCTTGGTCGCAAGCACTTAGAAAAATATCAAAATAGTGTTTTGTTATTCATTTGTTAAGATTCTTTTTGTGATTTTTGCCCTTTTTAATTGGCCGGTAATGTCAGTTGACTTATGACCAGGGATCATAAATGGTGTGATGACACAAACACTAGTTAGTGGATAGGTTAGTAGGTGGCCAGCGTAGCCACTGTTTATCCACAACATGTCTCCTGGGTGGGTGCCACTACTTTTTTAACCCACTGAAATATAAGAGGCTAAACTGTAATGCAACACAGTCTACTACAATTAGTTCTATAGCTTTAGTGGCAAGAGGGAGTCAATCAGTGTTCACAAAAATGTTTAATGTAGGCTTAAAGCATCATAATAAGCAACAATATGATTACCATTTCCGATTTGATAGAGACATTTAAACAGTGTGAAGTGGCCAGATGGTATGGAGAATTCTCTATTTTGCCTCTGAGGAAAGTGTGCAACAGGTGGAGAGGGAAGCAGTAAGAGACAAAAACACTGAGGTGACAGACATTTACAGAGGGTGAGAAAGCACAGACAGCAATAAAAAGGAGAGGCGAGAAGAAAAAAAGTTCATAATTAAGTTCACATAGACACGGCGTGTGTGGGTAAAAGTGGAGGAGAAACAGAGGGATGAACAGCAAGAGAAAGATGTGAGAAAGGTAAGCAACAGGCTGGAAGTGATAAAGATTTGTCTCTATTGCTAGAGTCTGTGTGGTTGTAATGTACCTTCATTGGTGCCAGCTGTATGGGGGTAATGTAGGAGGGGTCCACCATGGGCTTGGGCCGATTGGCAGTGTCTGCCAGGAGGCTCTGCCATTGCTGTGGCAGGCCGGTGAACTTCTGCTCCCGTGGGTCGAAGCCCGTGTGGACCCGGTGCTCGAAGTTAGACGGAGCTGAGATCTCCAGCCGTTTCTTCTTCTTCCCAAACATGCTGGAAAACCCTGGCAAACCTGGCAACCCCAAAAGAAAAAAAAGCATACTTGTATTAATATTCTGGCTGCAGCACTGGCTACGATTATGTTTGACGCCCGTGAGTTAAAGACTGTATCTTTAAGATGTTGTTAAGTCATCATGGCAGTATATTCTCCTTCTTGCCTAAAGTTTAATCTTCTTTTTTACATAGTACTAGGATGTTTTATACCACCGCTCTGTAGCATGATGAATCTCTTGTCTTATAACACTGCAGGTTATAGATGAGGAAAGAACGAGGAAAACTATCCAAACACACAAAATAAAAAAATTAAAAAGCCAAGTGTCCACTTTGATTATGTAATGTAAACATCAGGGGGAAAACGATGGCAGTGGGGATTTTTTTAAACACATGTTGGACAGCGGTTCTACGCGGCTGTATAGTCAGGCGCGTATGCTGCATGAAAGCTCCCGTCTGTGCTTTTTGGAGCTGTTTGGAAAACCCACTGTGACTCTCGTGGTTTGGGTGTATGCATAATGTCCAGTCATAGGAACAAAATGTCATAATGCTGTTGTTGTGGCTGTGAATGGAGTCTATTGTGTCACTCCTCTCTGAGAGGCATTGTCCTCTGAGGGAGCCACCACTGCCACCCCCACCACCATACTCCTTACTTTTTTTCTCTTTGCCTCTGTCATCGCTTTTGCAGAGACAATGTTTGCTGTGCCATTCCACTCGATCATGCATTTGCATGCATGTACTGCAAATGGGCAAAATAAACAAAAGATCCTCACTTATGCAAACACGCTGAAAACAGTTCAACAAAACCGCTCGAGGAGTTTAATGTTTAGATTGTCCCAAGAAAAAATGTTTTGCCCCCATCAGAAGAAAACATCATTTACACTCATCACCACACACTAACCACTGACCATACACACACGCCTTTATACACCACACACACACACAGTACATGCATTACAATTGTTACTAGCAAGTAACAACCATAATCTTTAAACTTCACCCAGTTACCATTATTTTAACATTTCAAACCTGCACAAATATGGAATAACGCTTACGTAGATTTTCCAGTGAGAAAATCTGAATGCTTAGCGGCGTATCCGCTTAGAAAGCAAGGTAATACGTTTGTGTATTTCAGTTTGTCCCAGTTTTCTAAAACTCTATTATGAATAAAAATTCAATTAACATGTTATTAGCTCAAACGTAGTTGCTTACCAGAAATGTGCCAGAAGTCATTAATTTTTAAGGCTGCCACTGTGTGTGTGTGTTCATGTGTGTTTAACGTGATAATACTTATTAATACTTAAAAGAGGAGAAATATCAGAAAGGCTCCCTTATCTCTCAGCCTCCTGTAGAGGTGTGTCAGTGCCAGTTTCTGATTGGCTGGAAGTGGCAGGCTGCCAGAATGGCACTGTTACACTGTCAGGAGCAAGAGACAAAGTAAACAAACTTGTGCTGTACCCTCTGTGTCATACTCTGGCAGCATATTGTCAGCAGTGCTGAAGAGTGAGGGTGACACACCGAAATCACAATAGAGCACAGTTGCATTTGCGGGTATATTTACATGTCATTTCCTGTATATGTAGCCGAGCAGCTAAAGTAGCCTGCAAACTGTCTGAGCAGTAAATGACTGCGGGTCATTCACCTAGCTGTGTTGCACACAAATTGTATACTTAAGTTTGTAATTTAGATAAGAGGCAGCAAAACAGAATGTGAGGAGCTTATGTAACGGCAGATAAACAATGTGCGATTTGTTCCTTACACTTTTGCTTTGCTTTTCAGTTTTTGGAGGCGCTAAAGAAAGACACGTCGCTATATCATAAGCGAAGAGCAAACATTTAAAGCACGTTTTTTAATAAAATATTACAAACATGCTGCTACCTCAAACATTCTAAGTAAATCTGCAGAGCGGTATATCAAATGACTAACTCTTCTGACCTGGTAGTGCCACTTCAACAGATGCAATGACAGAAGTCACCAAAGAGTCTTTCTCTAAATGCAACTTTAAACAGGCAAGGCAAAGTAATCATGGAAGTCTTTCTCAATCATTTCCTTTCTTCCCAGCAGGAGAGACAGACAGATCAAATTAGCGGCCTCAAACAGGAAAGATGGGGAGATAGATTGATAAAAATGGGGTAGGAGGGTTGATAAGGGTAGAACACGAGAGCGGAGGAGGAGCATGGGAAGGAGTTTAGGAAGGGATCTCAACAAATGCTAACAGAAGAAAGAAGAAGAAGAAGAAAAAGACAAACATGGAAAGAGGACGGAAGCCTAAAGTCCTTTGTGCTAGGAATGCGCTGCACTGCATGCATCACAATCACAGCACAACAGATTATTATGCAGCACACGGCTGCCTTTAGAAAAGTCTATACTGGATCAAAGGGTGCTAAGTCATAGATAGAAGCTTCATCCCACAGGCATGTTTACACAACTCTGCCTTCTACAGTGCAGTCACTGTAAGCTTGCTTCAACGATGCTTTCATTTGTGAGCAAAAGTACTTTTAATGAAAAGAATATACCCGTGTAATCAAAACATAACTTGTCATATTCGTCATGATCTGATCAGGACTAAACATTTAACCACAACTGTGACCCGAGTGTGAGAGCAATACCAGTACATGTGCATACCACAACTAACAAATGACTCCTTGCAGTAAACACCTGCATATTAAGAAAGCGTCTATCACAGAGGTAGTACATCTGGAAAGATTGCTCGTTGTCTTTCAGCTAGCTTGATTCACAAAACCAAACAATTTAAATGCAGGTATCCCCCGATAAAGAACTAACGATCCTCAATCTTTATCTTTTCCATTTTGTGCTGAGCTACAAATCTCTTATGTAAGGAGGATGTGTCAGCAACCCTTTCCAATTTTGGCCGATGTCCACTTAAACCTCCACAAATCAAGCCAAGGTTCTAACCTTGTTGCTATTTTTGGGGCAGGTACACTAAGTGGCTACATTAAGAAGTGATGCAGTACTGACATGCAGACGTTATGTCCACTGGAAATGACATTCACAAAATACATTTAATGAAGACAACGTCAAGGATGAAGCTGAAACACGGCTCCTGTCAGAGGAAGTCTTCTGCCATCACTGCAGGACAGCACACAGTGACTAAACAGAGAATGATCGCAGACTTGCACTGAATCATCAGCTGACAAATGCAGTAAGCGAAGCTCTTGTTACCTTAGAGCAACATGCAAACGAAAACACATCCTATAACGCCACATCCAACTAAGAACCACAGCGGAAGTACTAATCAGACTGGTCAGTGTGTGTGGGTGTGCTCGTCCAGTTATTTGGGTGCCCCAGCCACTCTCCATGCATCTCCAGGTGTCCAACTCTCTCTTACCAGACTGTCACATTGCTGTGAGAGACTCCATTTATGCAGATCTCTTTAAGGTTTCACCACAGCATTTTAGTCAGGTTGAAGTCTGGACTTTGACCGGACCAATGCAACACCTTGATCGTGTTATTTTTCAGTGATTCCATTGAAGATTTGCTGCTGTGTTTGTCTTTATTGTCCTGGTTGCATTATCCAATTTAAGCCGAGCTTTAGCTGTTAGACAGATCGCCTCACCTTTGACTCTAGAATACTTTGGTATACAAATTCATGATTGACTCAAAGGGCCCAGGTCCTGTTGCTGCAAAGCCCAAATCATCACCTCTCCACCACCATGCTCGGCAGTTAGTATGAGGTGATTGAGCAACTAAGCAAACCTAAGCTGTGCTGCCATGTTTTTTTTTTAAAGGAAAAAAAAGAGGCTTTCTCCTGGTAACCCTCCCAAACAAAGGCTTCTTGTCTATTTTTTCTAACTTTAATGCCATTAACTTCAACATTTAACATGCTAACTGACGCCCACAGAGTCTGAGATTGAGCTCTTGGGATCTTTGCAGTTTCTCAGAGCATTGCACGATCTGACATTGGGGTGACATTGCTTGCTACAGACAAGCAAACTGATGATGATGATCATTTGATTAGCATCACGTGGCTGTTACATACACTTCCTTTTTTTCACAAGACTCTAATCCTGTGAAAAGTTTATTTTTCAAATGATTGTATGCAGCTCTTAGTCCTTGTTTGACAAGAAAATAGTGGTTAATGAGAACCAAGCTAATTTATAGACACTGAACCAAACAACAAGCTAAACAGCTAGCGCTTTTAAATCAGCTAGCAAGCTAGCTAGTTTGTTTTATCTATCTGAGGGTAACTGAAACCAATTTTTATTTTTAAATAGGTGTGTAGTGGTAAATCCAGCAGTGTTATCAATATGAATAAAATCTATTGTAGTAAACGGCTTTAGCTAAACAAGAGGGATATTTTAATCAAGCTTTCATTTCACAAAATGTCTTCTTCTTTCCATCTTGCACTGGGTAAGCAACCCATAGTGAAGGTGGAAACCCATGACCTAGATGGTGCTTCTCGGGAATAAGATTATTAAAGGCTAGTAGGACTTAAGTTGTCTAGGCCAAGCTCAGCAGTAGGGAGACACAACAACACATGCAGACAGACACACATAAACACAGCACTGAACGTGTGTTAGACAGCAGATGGAGACACATGTTCATGTACTCGCCCAGCCCAAACGTACTCCTGCAGAGCTTTTAGCAGCTTCTTTCTCACAACAGTCAGAAAACAAGTTCAGACTGAGATGTACTTGAAGTGTAGAGCCCACTGGGAATTGCTGCCACGCAGAAGCCAGAGGAACTACTTACTGCACAACTTCTCCAGGCTGCCGTGCGAGCACCTCTTGAGCTGTAATTTATGGGCGGATTGTAAAGCACTTTGAGAAGTTCCACACTAATGCCTGCAAGGTTAGCCCGCCAAAGAGTAACAATGTCACTCTGATGAAAAACTGCACCTGGTAATATATGGCAGAGATTAGAGATTTGCAGCACCGTCATTCCAGCTGTGCTGAACTGCAGTGAGCTGTGACTGCGTGTGTGGTGAGCGGCCTCGATCGGATTTTTCACCCCACTGCACAGAAGGGTAAAGCAGTTTACTCAAACAGCTAATGAAGCTATAATAAAGCATCCTGCCTCTTTATGTCCACTGTAACTCAACGCAAGAGTATGGCTGAAAACAACTGGTAATAAGCAGAGTACTGTTTGCAATGCAAACACTGATTTCTTTTAGAAGCTACACAACTACTAAAAGCTAAGCACACAAACACTACTGCATACAAAGAGATAGTTTAGGATGCTGATGCAAACTGTTTACCTTTATATCTGAGTGTGTTGTATTCATTTGTTCATAAATAAAGGAAGCGTGAATATCTAAAAAAAAAGGCACACTGGTGTGCGGCATGCTTGCATACCGTTTAATCTGTCAAAGCAATGTCATTTGATGTTACGAGAAGCATTACGTAACATTTAACATCCTCTACACACAAAAAAGGGAGATGCTCAGCCATCCAAATGCTCATGCAAATGCATTCAAATGTATTAACAATTAGCCTTCAATGTCATTTAATGGGATTCACAGTAACCACACACACACGCTATATACACCAACACACTTAAATGGGCTACTGGTCCCAGGGCAGAGATCCTGACTCCCAGGCTGATTTGTCTCCAAACCATCTGTCACCATCCGAGCCTCCACAGGCATTTCCCCTTCTGTACAACAACACCTCAACAGACACACACACTGCAGTGAACCGGAGAGTCTGCACGTGTGTGTGTGTGTCAGTATTCGTGTTGTCTGTGTCTTGTATACACGCTGTATCTATTTTTGGTTCCTAAGCGCATGCTTTAATGTTCTGTGGCAGCAGAGTGTATTCATCATGTTTTCCAAAGAGCACATTAATTTTCTGTCCTTTAGATTGTAATTTAGAAGCATAATTTGGTATCGAGACGCAGAGCATTCACTCATGCACTAAATATGCAAATACATTTCATACATAATTTAAAACGCAACATGAAAAAGGACACAAATGCCTTCTGATAAACAAGCTGAGGGAGGGGCAATGCTCTCTACTTTGTTCCTACAGAGAATAGGAGGAACTCCTAATTTAATTAAAAGGTCAACAGGTTCAGAGTGAAAGCCTAAGCCCGGTTTGCCATTTGTGTTCAAGAAATTACCAGTGTTTCTGTTTAGATTTACTTGAAGTGGTGGCAAATGAGCAAAGTGAGAAGCAAATGTGTCCCTGCATCCTCACAGGTAGTCTTTGTTCCCCCTCTTCCTCCTTCCTCTTTTGTCCTGCCCTGCTCTGTTGTCTGCTGTTCACTTCTCTCTCATTTACATTCACTTGTTCTCTCTTCGCCCTGTTCCTTCAGATGATTTAATTGGCTCCAAAAACTGTTTACACAGACATGCATTTCACCTTCCGTTCCCGAAAGATGTGTTTCGTTGAGTGGTAAACAACTCGATCTGATGGAGAGGCTTTTTAAAAAAATGTTATCATTTGCAAACTGTTCACAACAGTTTGTAAGATTCCTCTCTCAAATGAGGTTTAAAGATTTGGGGAGCAATGGGAAGCTCCCGCTCTGATTATAAATATACCTTTTGTCAAATTACACACAGACTGCGTGAATCAGAGGTCTTACCTGGCAACAAACTGACGGTCTCTTTCAGCCAATCAAAGCTCTCTGGGTAGGCCATAATGAGGCAGACAATTAAGTGCTCCTCAGATGTTTCGCTTTGATGTCAAATTACACTCCTGACGAATCCATTATGCGCCTCAATTTTCTTTGCACAAAAACCACTAAACAGCGAGTCCACCTCTCCAGTTGTAAGCTGATGATTCCCCCCCCCCCCGGTGGAGCGATGCTTCTGAGAAGTCATCGAATTGACAAATCAGGTCACATTCAGGACCCTCTGCGTTCTCTGGCGAACTGTTACTAGTAATGCTACCCTGCCTGTATGCTCTGATAACTCCCAATGTGAGATGCACAGGACACGAAAAGTGCCTACGCCAGCAGACCGGGCCGAGGCACGGCCAGACAGCTTAAGCCTGGATCCATCCCATTTTACGCTTATTGTTTGTCTAACTGGGTTTGACCGGCCACGTCCCAAACTGAGCTGCCCCTGACCTTCACTGTCCTCCTCCTACTTACGTGTCCATCAACAGAAGCACAAAAACAACAGAGCGTGAGTGTCCTCTGCGTTCCCACAATCCACAGGATGGTGTTTGTGTGCTGGTCGCTTTGGCCAACACACACACACATACAAAACTGTCTCCCACCGATGCCAGCGTGTGCGGATATCAACGTTTGTGTCAAGAGCTGCATCGCCAGGCGGCCTATCACTGCCTCTTTCACACGACAAGTCACAGGGAGGAAGACAGAGAGTGTGACGGAGGAGATAAGATGGAAGAAAGAGAGAAAAAAAAACAGCTGGTCCAGTCAGAGACTGTGACAGTCTGGCCGTTTGCCGACGCAAAGGGGACATTGAGCGGTGGCAGCCGCGGACAGGCCTTGTGCTGAGGGCAAACAGTCTCACAGAAGCAGTGCCAGGCTGTCAGGATAACACTGTACAGCATTTTTCCCTTACAGAGAGAGAGAAAGAGGGGATGGGAAATGACACCTATGCAAGGCAGCAAGCCAAATACAAATAAAATATTGAATGCACTGTTGTTTTCAAATAATGCCAATATGAAAAAAGGTAGCCTGAGCAAAAGCCAAGGGCTGAAAGAAATCTGCAAGTTTAGTATATCTAATGTATACTCGTGGAGTGCAAGGCTGATGATACGGTACATTTCAGGCTTGAGCAGAGATTGCTGCTGGTTGTGCTGCACATGGATGTGGAGTATATCTGAATGCATTACTGAAAAACTGAATTGGAGGCACAAGGAAAGCAATGAACTTCCATCTGAAAGAACATTCATTTTTAGCAGGTACTCATTGGTATGTGTTTTAATAGTCAGGAAATGAGACACAAGAAATGTGTTTCTGCAGACAAATTTAACTGTAAGCATTTTGTGTCATGTTACATCAAGAATTCAAGGTCCGCTTCTTCCTGAAGAGCTGAAACAAATATTACAGGATACATTTTTTCCTTCAAAGTAGTGAACTCTGACAGTTTGGAGTTCTTTTTGGTTAATCACTTGGGAAGAAAGGAAACAAATTATGTATGACATTTATCTGTGTTCTCATGATAAATGAGGACTGTTTTTACTTTACCAGTTACTGCTGCAACCCAACCCGTGTTAAAAGAGCTCAAAGTTTGAAGGCAAGCCTTGTCATGTTCCAGTTTGCGTTGCACATTTCATAGTTCACCTCTGCCTGCCATTAAATTTGCCAGTGTTTGCAGACAAGTTGGGGTCTTCCAGGTTGCTAGCTTGCAACCTGCTAGCAACCAAAAGCACAAAGCACAAGGAGGTCTTTTTGGTGCAGCGCCACAAACCTCTCCACATCCAATTTCACACATGTGAGTGCCAGAAACCTCCATCAACCACTCACCAACTTTTTGTGGAATCCACCAGATGGTTGCAAGATGGTCTCCAATCATGTAAATGGGGCTTAGCTATAAATACTTGTCATTAAATAAATTTGGCTTATTTTGCAAAACATCAGCTTTTCATCTGATTGACTGATTGTGAATCATTAAATCCGGATGTAATGATGTATGTAATTTTTCTAACTGATTTATCAGTCTTATAGATGTCAGTATGTCAGGCCGTTCATCTTGCAGTTTTCTGTGGCATTCTCAAAGTGAAGTATTGTCCTACTTCCCTTGACAACCACAGACCAATAAAATCAAATGCTAAATGTCAAGTACTGTTAGGGCAACAGTTTGAAATTATTTGCAGTCACTGGCTCTTAACATTCGAAGAACAAAACACTCAAACCTTAAACGGTCAATTTTAAGCAATGGTCTAATTTTTGGAGTTCATGCAATAAAAAACGATATCAGTTTTTTTCCTTTGTTCAAAAGGGAAAATTTGTTGTTATACAAAAATAATTATATAAATTATGAATAATTGTGTTTATCATGTGGTTTGTCACTATTAAAACACTGGTTAGATTAAGGAAAGACTGTGAATTTAATTCCATATCCTAAATCTACATCTTATATACGCAGTCGCACATGGAGATGGCAACATAAGCAGAGACGGTTAAAATGATGGCATTTCACGGCTAAGTACCACACTCTTTAAGAGCATCAATACCCTCCACGTGTCTAATGAGCGGGTACATCGTAGCTGTCACAATACAGATGCAGCGTGATGCTTGACGCAATCACAATCACTGCAAATGACAGAAACATTTGCGAAAGGGAGCTATCCAGGTCAGCTGCTTTCTTCAGGTCTCTCACCGATCTCTCACTATCAAGGGAAAGGATCAGCTAAAGTTGTTATCTCATCGTGTGGTAACATAATAGATGGATACAGCAAAGAAGGGTGACTCTGGGAGGTACCGAGAGATCAGGAGAGTTATCTAAATGAGATCTTTGCAGTCCTGAGGACAGAAGACTGCATATCACTGCCTGAGAAAGCGTGTGTGCAGATGTGTAACCATGTCTATATGTATATAGCTGTGTTTTCTCCCTTTAAAAGCACATTAAAGTAGAAGGCTGACCCCAAACTAAATCTCTTATAATAGTCATTGAAAAGAAGAGACATGATGTGAATCGAAGATGAAATCTCACAAAAAATTACAACCTTTTAATATTACTGCTTTATGAAGAACCAATCAATGCAAATGTTCTTGTATAAACCAGCTGAACATGACTACCCAGAGCTTTTGCATGCCATTTGAGAGAAAAGGATGCTGTTAACTCAGGACTGACTGACTGATCTGTGCATTCAGGACCACTTTTTCAGGTCTAGGTCTTCTGCTGCAAGCTCAGTAGATTATTAGATCCTCTTCCCCAGCCCCAACCTCCAACTCCTCCTTAGGCATTTCCAGGGAAGATCGGATACAGTATCCCTCCAGTGTGCACCAGAGCTGCTTTCAGTTAGCCCAGAATACCATCAGACAATGTGAAGGAGCCATACTTCCACCTTCAAATATCAATGCTCCTAACTTTTAAACTAAACCCAGGCACCACTACAACTCATCCTTTTGATAATACATATATTTAGTTTATGACCACAGGTTGATTATTAAGTCATAAAACTCATTCGGATGTTAGCTCTTCTCAATATGCACAATATAACTCTATCTGTTGATCTAACAATTCATCTTACTCCAGAGCAAGTATATAATTACATTTTTTATCCCTCCGCTGATATCGGTCATCATACAAACAATTAATCTTATTTTACTGCACAGCAGCGTTGCACTAAACATGATTTTATTGCAGCCCACTGCTGATTTGTGATGGGCATCAGACATAGTGGTGTCTTCGAAAAGTGGGAAGCATGATTACGCATCACATCTGCTGCTGCTGCTTCAGCTGTTGACTGTTTTAATAAACAAGACAAATCTTCAGGCCAAACGTGAATGTATTACGAGAGCTGGATTATGTCACCCCTACTCAGCCTTTCATGCCAATTTTATCCCATCCCAGGGGTCAACTGAGGTATTACAACCTTTAACCAAACATATATTCAAAGCAATGTAATAAATTACTTTATTACGGTATTGAAAAATATATTTAATTATTTTTTACAATAAATAAAGAGGTCTGTAAAGCTGTTGAGTTTTGATCTTTACATTATTATTTTTTTCCTCACCAAGAATCCGGTTCTTATTATTTATTATAGCACATGAAGCCAAACTAAAAGCATCCGACCATCATTTCAGTGAATCCTGGGCATTCATTTTTCAATGTTTTACATTGACTGATTTTACATTTTGACAGCCTCCCCTTTAGGTAAACACAACACAGGTACAGTCAACTATCGGACAAAGCTGCATCGTTTCCTTGCATCCAACTCATTTGTCTGAGTCCAGGCTTCAAAAACATGCAGCTCTCTAACACATCTATTCAGAATGAATTTGCAGGGATTGAGATGTGGAGCAATAACACACTGACACGAGAAAAAAAACAAGCTCCACTGTGAAAAAAAACCCCCACACTCATAATATTGGATTCCTTAGCCAATAAGCAAAGGTAGATGAAGTGCTGCTTCTTATCTGAACCTGTACACTGATAAAGAATGAAGGAATAACCATTATTCAGCCCTGCCATCGACACTATCAAGCACGTGAAAGGAAGGCTATGCCATATGGTATTAGTTTCAGTGCCCCAGGGCTAACATCTGTATGCAGACAGCATCCACATCTAGACTGAAGAGACAAATGTTTCTTTTTTTCCGAGACTGAAGCAGCCTTTTTGTAGGCCTGCCATTTCACTGAGAAGCAGTCAGACATAAAGAGAATGACTGGCAACACTGCAGGGCACTCTGTGACTCTTTGGTTATTTGTTTATGTTAGCATCTGGTTGTCTGTGTCATGTCATGTGTGTGCACGTGTGTGTGTGCAGATTTCAGAGATGGTCAGCTATGGTTGTGTCCAAGAAGCCACAGATATAGTGGATAAATAAAGAGCAGTTATGACAGATGTAATTACAGAGGGTGCGATTACAATGAATGCCTTCTGGTGAAGCAATGTAGTTGTGCAATTCTTTGAATAAGCACTGCACATCCCCCCTGGTGTCAAGATCTGTTAACAGAACAGAGCGTTTCTATTACCAGCCTGCATTGTATGGAGTATTTACTCACAGTGCAAATGTATCCAGCACCCTCTGTTAGGTGTCACTACTATTTGCTCCAGTGAACACTGATTTTAAGCATTGAAATACTGACTGGAGCTATGAGCCCCACCCCAACTAGCCCTACTCTGTAAATCAAGAGTCAGGCTCAGCGAGAAATCAGAATTATCAGCATCCAAAAGCTCAAGAAAAATCACAGACCTACTGAAGCACTCAAGTGGAATAATCTGAAATCTCAATCTCTTGGTCATTGCTTTGCAACTGTGGAGATCAAACACTTTGCTTAGCTAAGAGTGCACAACCTAACCAGAAGCCTCCAGGCGTGACCTAACATAACTAGGATTTAACTTTTCAAGTGAACACATAGTGAATATAATGGTTAAATAATAGTTATGTGTTGTGTTGTTGCTGAAATGGAAAAAGGCTGATTTTCTGATTTTGTCCTATATGCAGAAAAAAAGCCGGTTTAACCTACTTTTTCCCTAAAGGAAGGGCTTTGAGGCTCCTCTTTTATAAAGATTATTTAGAACACAAAAGGATCATTAATTTTCACTAATATTACATTTATGTAATCTTAAGACATGACTTGAATCAGAAATAATGGTTACTATAAAAATAACTCTCTAGATTATTGTGAAATAAGTCCATAGTCATCTATGATTGATGTCACTTGGAACCCAGAGCTCCCCACCATTAAAACCTGTGTACTTCCTGTTGGTGGTTTTCTGTGTTAAAAGCACTTTGTTCTTTGATAGCCTCCTTCTTTCCACCCCATTATCTGCTGAAGCACGTTAAACCCCCAACTTAATCGTTTATTATTGAAAGCTCGGCAAGAAGCCTTCCCTCCTGGTGTTATGGGAAAATGGTTAAGGCTGAGATGTAAAAGACGTAGGGTTAAGCATTTAGCCAGCTACTGAACTGCATGGAAGCTACATTTCATGGGCTGTGCTTTAAAATGGGCGACCCATCGTCTATATATGTGAGTCTGAGGATATGAAAATAGGCATATTTGTGTGTGTAACGGTTGTCATGGTGCTTAAAAAGCAGGCAACAAATGAACTGGAAAAAAACAAAAGATTGTGATATTATTAGAAGCATTGTTCACATTCAGGGTACATCATACATACAACATCAACGTTGTGCTGCTATGTCTGTCACGTATACGGCACATGCACGGTGACAGCAACCATTCAGACTTTTTTGTTTTTGACACAGTGGGCATGAATTTTTTAAGAATAATTGATTTTAGGCACAAGTAGATAAAAGGCTTCTCATTTCTATCCGGCTGCTGTTGATTCTGACAAATGTCGTTAGCAAAATTCATCAACTGTAGCAAATTAAGCTAACACGATCTTGCAAAATTGCTCAAAAAAGCTTTTTCCTGCCAACTTTTTAATATTTCAAGCTCGTTTGACTTAAAAGGGGAACAGTGTAACAAGTTCTTAAGTATGCATGCAATGGCCACATACAGACATCGCACTGTTGAGCTATTAGTCTTTGTAGTTTAAGTGCAAAGAGGAGTGTTTACAGCAGTGGTTCCCAAACTTTTTTTGCTAGGCCCCCCTTTGTTTTACAAGAAAAATGTTCGCCCCCATCCCCTCCGCGTGCACGCACGCACAAACACATCCTCCAACCACACACACCCATATTTTGCTCCATTGCGGTTTCTTTCACACCTCAAACATTTAGTGAACAATTAAGCAAATACAGGTAATCTGCAATAAATTACAGGTAGTAATAAAATAAACTACTAACTCTTTTACGCTACGTCCACACCTACACGGGGATTTTTGAAAACGCAGCTGTTTCATCCACACGTAAACGGCGTTTAGAATCACCGAAAACTGAGATTTTTTAAAACTCCTTTTTTTGCGCTCATGTGTGGACGAGGAATACAGAGTTCGTCACGCAACGTCAAAGGTATGTGCCTTTTTTCACGTCAGCTGTGCGCCACGTTATTGTTTACATGAGATGAATTGCAGAATGGCAGATAATCAGATTAACAGTATTTTGTCTCTATCTTCAGGTTTTACACGCTTACATATACACACGCAGTTACTGTCCCTCTATTTACAAAGTCAGAGGCGTCACTGTGTAATTATTTTACATGTAGTTGTTTCTTTCCTGTGTAATAATATTTAACATTGCTATCAATCCATTTTTCAAAAAATGCCTCTCTGTGCAAAATGGGTCTAAAAACATAAACAGCTGTGGGATCCTGTTTGTCCATGATTTAGACAGGGGGAACAAATCGTGGCAGGATCAGCCTGATGTTATTTGTATCCCGCTGTAACTTTACTGTATAAAGAGCTAACATCTCCAAAATGTCAGGAGCAGTTAGTCATTACAACAAGTGTTTGTCAACTGTTACGGTCGCTGACCTCTAGTGGCTCTCCCTTTGTAGAAGAGGGTTTTTTTCTCCTTTTCTTGTGTTGCAGGTCTGCCTCATGAGCCACAGCTGAGGTGTGTTCCAGCTCGTCAGCCACGGCATATAGTCTGCCATCCTAAACTGCCACACCCCTGCCACTTCCCCCATTTTTGCCAGAGCTGTGAGATGTAGTGTTTTGGGCAGTGGGCCTTAGTGTGTATGTGTGTGAGAACTTAAACTCTGTGGAACTTTGGTTTTCTTTCTTTATTGTAAGCAAAGGTGTGCCCTTATTGTGTTAATTAGTTCATCATTGTGGAAGCAGGTAGGGGTTCTATGCCATTTTTGTTTCAACTGTTTTCTCCTGTTTTTGGTTAGACAGGGAGCTCAGCCATTGTATTTTGTTTTGGTTAGTGAGTACTTGGTTTGATTTTTAGCTAAAGGGGGTGTTTTGTTTGTTGTTTTGGCCTTGGAGACCCTGAAGAAAAGAGCTTCCCTGTGTTTATTTTTACTGTAGTAGTTTTGGGCAATAAATCACGTTTAATGACATCTATTCTCCAGTAGCTCATGTGTTCTCTTTCACTTTGTGTTACCCCTCACTCCAGTCAACACTTCGTTTTTAAGTGGGGCGTAACATCAACTAAAAATCAAGAATGTGGGATACTGTTTGTCCGTGATTTGGAGAGCCCAGCGCTGCTCCCGACGAAGGGAAAACCAATTCTGCAGGGAGCCCTACCTCGGCACCTGTGCAGGTTAAACCAAAGGGCAGATAAGCTTCACCATATTTTCTAGTCTTTGGCTTAGAATGAAGTTGGTTTGGAAATATATTCAGCGATGCTTCATCACCTGCTTTACGTTTGTGTAGGCGCCCCGTGCTAGCAGTGTCCAAGCATTGTTTTTGTTTTTTTCCCTTTTCATACCACGCCCCCCCCTAGGGGGCGGGCCCCACACTTTGGGAAGGTCTGGTTTAGAGTGCTTGGATATAGCCTACTGGGACAAGCAAATCAGAGGTTAAGCACTATGTTTTCACGTTAGACAAGAAAAGCAGCTTTTATAAAATAGCATTTACAAACATACTAGTTTTCTTTAGAGAGTAAAAATTATTTCTATTTGCACAAATAAAGGAATTATTTCAGAAAAAAACAAATTACCAGGGTCAATATTATTACCCCAGCAAAACACTCAATTTTTTCTTGAGCCACGACACAAACTGCTGCTGTGCAATCATGTGCTTTAACTATGTAATGCTCAAAGCTCACAACTCAAGTTAAAACCTGTCTCTATCCATCTAGTATTAAATCTTTCTGGGAAACAAGTATGTATATTATGCACACACACAAACACACATGCAGCTATTACCTATTTCTTGTTTTTATACCTAAGATGAATTATTGTTGAATGAAGACATTTTTCAAACAAATGTAAAATGTGGGCAATTGTGTTTATTGGGTAAAGGAAAAGGCAGAAGGGGGGGGGAAGGATAGAAAGAATGAAAGAGAGAGATGAGAGAAAACCCCAACAAATCCCCTCTGAGCAAGCACCAGGCGACAGTGGATAGGAAAAACTCCTTTTAAAGTGAAAGAAACCTAAAGGAGAAACCTATGGCAGAACCAGGCTCAGGAGGGGGCAGTCAACTGCCGGGACTGGTCGGGGGGTGAGGGTGAAAAAAGAAAAAGGAGGGAGGGGAAGGGGG